AATTTCACCGGGGATTGCTGGACGGAATTTCGAGGGGGCGTTGAAACATGGAAACCAAGCACTTCAGCGGATGGTTAATCAAAATGATATGACTGTGAAATTATTACAAATATTTTAAGAGGACGAAAAGCGAAAGTGAAGACTTTTCGCCGTAATATCAGCGGTTCGTAGTCACTTGATCTCCGTTCTCGTCATAAATTGTAAAAATCCGGCTTGACTTCCATTGATTTCCACACGCCATTAGCTGCTAGAACTATTTCGCGCTATTTCAGAAACCCAAAGCGGTCTCGGGCAACTAACCGACCACTTTAAGCTTCCCCCAAGGGGATGCAAGTCAGGATGCCACTTGATCATTAACAGTGAATGTGAACCCCCGAGTGCGGAGGAGGAGAAGGAACAGTGTGCCATACACGGGAGCTGCACTATTTAACAGCTTCGAGCAATTGCAAACGTAAATCAAATGCCACATTTTGCACTGGCAGCATCGCGGCTCCACCATTCCGTTCCATGCTTATTTTATTTGTAATTTTTAACAACCTGAAACCTGTGTGGGTCGCCCGGGCAGAAAGGCATTATACACAGGAAAAAACAAGAAAGGAAGCTAGCTTCGGCAAGCCGAAGCTTATATACCCTTGCAGATCATTCTATTAATTTACAAATCGCAAAAATGTTAAAAATCCTATTATTTCACATTAATTTTTCAAGTTAAAGCTTTGTTTATTTTTTACGTATTATCTTCTTGTCTTCCAAATACCATTATTCTAGGTTATTGGAACTTTGAATTTAATTTCAAAATAATCGGAGGACATTCGTACATAGCACACTGGGCCAGAAAGTTAATTTTTTGGCCAAAAATCTGTAATTTCTTTCCTAGGACAGTTAGAAGGATGCTGTTTTTAGCGTTTTTTTCTTAAAAGATTGAACTTTCCAACGAACTAAAGTAAAATTACTTGGAATTTTATATGATATAGATAATTCAGACCAAAGTCGAAAAATTTTACGTACTTTTCGGTTTTTTATTTTTAAAAAAATAACTAGAAGACGCACTTCTTCAATTTTCGAAAACAATAAAGTATGAGATAAAACAAACTAAAAAAAATTAACATCACTAAAAAATATTAATATAATATAAAATATCATTTAAGATTTATGAACCGTTAAAAAGTGCAACTTTCGGAGGCTCCCACATCAACGTTTATCAAACAATCGATTTAAAAAAAATTTCTATTTTTTTGTTCTTGTTACCTTTTAAGTTTTATATAATAAAATTATGTAAAAAAAATTGTTTAAAAATATTGTTTTTTGATTTGTTTAATGTTAATTTGACATATTCTGAAGTCATCACAAAAGTATGCTACATTTTTATTTGCATAGTCCTGATTAAATAGATAGATATAGGTTTGGAAAATACCATAATCGATTAGTGTACGTAAAAAGTAGATTTTAGATTTTAGTCACACTAAAATCAAATTTTTGAGCGCAAAATGTTCACCAAAACCTGAAGAAATAAAGTATGGCATACTCTTGGGCTCTCTTAGCTAAGCTCTTTAAAATAGCTCGACTTCGAGTTAAGCCTTCAATTAAAACTTAAATTACCGAAAACTAAGGCAAAACCGCATCGAGTCGGTGGGCTACGCTTTTAGTAAATTGATCAACGAATTTTTTTTTGAAGGAATGAACTAATTTGGGGAAGGCACTCGAAAAGCAAAGTACTCATTTGCTGAAAAAAAGCGTAAAAATTAACAATTACATTTATTTTAGCAAACAAGTAAGACATACGAGCTATATTATATTTTTTACTTGTTGAAAATAATCCCTTCTGCAAGTTTCGGAAAGAAGTCGAACAGCAACATCAGCATCTTTGACTTCTACATTTTTTTTCATTTCCATCAATATTTTATGAATTTTTCACTTTGAAAATATGGTAAAAGAAAACTACTTGCCCGAATTCTTTGAAACTTTGGCATAAATTAGTTTAATGTATTATAAAAAGGATCCCAAACTCAATTTGGTCATTTTCTTAAAAAAGAAAAACGTATTTTTGGCCAAAAATCTGATCGGCTGGCCCAGTGTGCATAGGAGCAATCAGAAAATGAATGGAAAATTTAAAGGAAACAGTTTTATGCTTCGATGGTTTTAATCGTGTTTCGTTTTACTCTGGGATATAACATTTTTCTATTATTTCATAACAACGAAATAAATAAATAAATACAACTGCCGTACTGAAGGTCAAAAATAAATGTATAAATAATTCAAAAATATGTATAATATTTTTTGTAACATCTTATCTACAGGTAACATTTTTGTAATACTTCTAAAATACATTTTTAATTTAATAATAACGATCGGCAAGGGTAATTAACATTGATCTTGCCCAACGTTGGTTCCTTTTTTTACTACATTTTTTCCTCTGTAGGAGAGGATGTGCGGCCAAAGATTCCCTCACAACTGAGGGCAGAATTTCTCCCCACCGTGTCACGCCCACATCGCTGGCGGTCGAAGAAAGGGGACTCGGCGTCTCCATTGGCATGCCAGTGCAGTGCAGCTGAAGGAGGAGGAGGAGCTGGCTGCCAACTGTTGGATGGCGCTGCTGCACAAGCTCACACAATTTTGATTTATTATTTTGATTCCTGTTACTTTACTACCTGCCAGGATGCAGCGAGCAACTGGCACATAGCCTCCTCCCAGCCACATCATTGTATCCAGCGCACGGTAGTCGTCGAAGCTTTTCTTTATTTTTATTCACACGGTTTCTGGTTTTATTGCTCCAATTACTTCATGTACTACTCGTTTTTCCTCCCCTCCTCTCTCGCCCAGTCAATGGGTGGCACTCGAGAAGATTTAATATTTTCCTCCTCCGCTTTCTTTTTACTGTTTTAATTTATCGCGTTTGCAGAGCTTTCAAAGATTTCTGTCGGGCAACGGAGTGCAAATCAAAACCGATAGGATTTTCCAGCATTGATCAGTTCAACGGATAAATCCGAAAATTCAGGTAAGCCCATTTAGGAATGACATTTTTAAGGAAAAAAACCATCCTTCAGGGCTCCTTCAACAGCTTGATGGGGACCAGCCAGCAACAACTTGATACCAATTAAGCACTCACAATCATATGCTGAAAGGTTGGAGCTCTCCACTCTGCAACACTCGTTTGCAAAGCCATTTTGCGCTGGGTTTCCGCGACCCTCTCGACACCTGTTTCTGTTATTGCCCCGCCCGCCGAGGTGCAGTATGCAAAACGCTTAACTGCACATAAAATATACAAAACTAACTTAGTTCGCGCATATCGCAGGGCATAACTCATGGGCACCCGGCTTCACCCTTTGCAGCGTGTGCCACTTGCCATTTGCAACCGACTGCACAAAAACAAAACTAGTGACAATAAAAGAGCGCAGAGGAGCCCCAGCGCAAAACCGATTCCTAACGAGCTTCGCCGGAGATTGTCCTGAGTCCTGAATCCTGAATGGGGAAAGAATCCTGTGGGGAAAGCGAGGAAAAGCTAAACATTGGCTTCTGGCGCTGGGGTCACCTAGAAGAAAGATCTTTAACTCGCCTGGCAATTGAATAATTCCACTCTCACCGAGATCCGACTCGGATTTGATCTCCAGCAGTCTCGCCGTGGACACAGCTTAGATGCCCTAAGAATTACCATATCAAAGATATGTATTTTTAAATCCCCACTCGCATCGCACTCCGCTAATGGCAACTGCTGAGTGGATGCAACAAAGCGAGTGCACTCTGCGTGGCGTGTAGTGGGGCCAAGGGCTTCGGCTGGGGTGGTGCAGCTGCGGCGGGCTATGTATAAATTCATAAAGAGAGCCACAGCAACGCGAGGGTGAGGGGAGGGTAAGGGGAACCCAGGACGACTGCGACTGCGGCAACATGTTGTAATTGCGTATTTTATAGATATGCGCGGTCCTTGCGAGAGAAGGAAGGGAGTGGGCGGCCGTTGTATCTGCCATTCGCTCTGTTTGCTTTTGTTTGGTGCGGAAATGGCAGCCGGTGTGCAGCGAAATATGGCAGTAAGAGCAACAACATCACGCATACGCCATGTTGCGCCATTTGAAGTTGTTGGCGTATACGTAATTTTTATTTTACAAGCAAACAAAAACGAAAAAAAACATAGGGAAACAGAAAACATTCAGTGCTGAAAAATGCATTCAGAGCCACGGCAATAACAAAAATGGCACACAGAGCACAGAGAAATTTTAATTGCTCAAAAAGCGTCGACAAGGGTCGTGGAGGAAAGGGGAAGGGGCCAAGCACATGCGAAACTAAATTTGGGTCCGTTATGGGGAACGTTCCCTTTTATGACTTTTAATTCAATCAAAGTTGAATGAAATTACGAAAGGAAAACATCAATTATTATTTTTGTATGCTGTTTGCTTTGACAGATTTGGGCTTGGAGTGAAAGATCATGGTTTAAATCTAACATTTCCCCGGTATTTATAAATGTTTATTTTGAAGGCCCTGCTCGGGCGCCATCTCTTGCTTATTTTGGTTGGCACATTTTCATATTATATTTTTGTTTGCAGGTGAAAGTGAAAGGCTGCTCCAAAAATATAAAAAGGTAGATTCACAAAAAGTCGCACGCAAATGCGCACTTAGTGTGCCCTGCCCTTTCTATATCCTGTTTGGAATGCCTTTTCGTGTGTGTGCATTATCAGCCATGTGTGAAAATCAGGACATGCGCGTGAGAGGAAAGCCTTTGTTTGGGCCACGTTAGAAACTAATGATGATAATACAGACTCAGCAGAGGGAAGCTCGCCGCTTCGCTTTCCCTTATTTTTAATGTGATATTCATCAGCGGGTGTTCCTCGGCTGACATTCAATGTGCAGCGGCATTTGAGTGTGAATGTTTGGATAAGCATTCAGAGTTTGTTCTCTATCAGATTTGGCTTAGAAGGTTACAATTTAAATACGTAGTTGTCATTCAAAGTAGTTTCGAGTTGAATTGATAGAAATAAATTATGCATAACTTGATTCTTTCATTGTTTTTGGTCATGGCAACGACGTTCCGACAATCCCATTCCTTGGAGGACGAGCTCTTCTGCCCATTAATCCAGCAAGCTCGCTTGCAATTGCTCTGCGGAGGGGTTTACAACATCGATCTCTTTCTGAAATACAGGGACTCTCTGACTTCCATCAATGCACCTTACAAGATCTTCTACCATATCCAGACTGGGTTTTATTTCCTGCTGGTTAGCTTCAACGAGTCTCCAGTACAAAGTTGTAATAATTCGATTCAGCTAAACGATGCCTTGGACTTCTTTTGTGGAGACGATGAATCGCCATTGAGATTACCCAACTCGCAGATATTTTGTCACAGGAACATAATGAGCTATGTGGACGACTTGATGTTCGAGTGCACCCAGCCAAGAGTTAGGCACTTTTTGAATGGCCAGTGGCAGGGCGAGGCTGCGATCCATTATGCTCCCAGGAAGAAAATAACTCATAAACTGGCCTCTGCGGCAGGAAGACCGGCTTTTGGTGCTTTGCTGACCTGCCTGGTGTTTGTATTGCTTCAGAAGTGATATTGCTGTCATCTGAGAAGTTCAAAATTCAAGTTCCAGTCTGGTCAAAATGCGTTTCTGCTCCATGTTCGTCCTGCTCTACATAGTGCGTAAGCTGGAGAAGGCCCAGAGTGGATGCGACCTTAAAGGAGGGTTGGGAATGGGAGGATCCTCAACGCGACTGCCACAGACGACTATTTCGCAGGGTCGGCAGCATAAAGAGCTTTTCCGCACCCTGCTCAAAATTGTTCCCAAGTGATTACTGTCGTTTTCTCAATAAAATACAAGAAGAACTTCTCACTGCGTATTTGATTCGTTTTCCAGAACTCTTTAACACTACAGAGAGTTAATGACTTTGCTTAAAGTCTTCCCCTATTTCGAGTTTTGTGGGTCCACCGCAGGCCAATATGGCGGCAGTCCATATAAGCACATAAATTACGCCAACGCCAATGACAATGATGACAATGAAATGTGATGCCCCCAACCACCACCCATCTCGCTGTTTGTGTGCGTGAAAATGGCAGTTATCCAAGCCAGTGTGTGTGTGTGTGTATGCCTGCATTTGGCTGCCATTGTTGGGATGTCTAAAATTTCATGGCACAACAGCAGCAGCGTCAACCAGTTGGCCAACTACAATGGACTCTGCTGAACTTCCAGTCGGAGGTTGCCCGCCCATTTTGTTTATCCGAGTAAAATAAGCAGCCTCGAGATAATGCCTGCAATCACAGGGCAAACGAGCAGATAGGTGGCAGCGGATTAGGTGGCAGGATAAAGGATAAAGGATAAGAGGAAGTCCATCCCCAGCATTAATCGACATTATAACTATTCGGAACCATTTTATTGACATAGTAAAATACCAAAATATCGCGATAGCAGAAAGGGGATTATGGTCACAAGAAAGGGGACAGCCGCGGCGCATTTCAGGCGAGGTCCTGCCTCATCCGTCCTCCTGATATTGTCCTTCATGTAGGCGATGGCCACCGAAATGGGCGGCGATCCCACCGAGCTCGGCTTCTTGGCACACGCATCGTACAGGTGTGTGGTGTAGTGGAACGGAAAGTTGATGCAGTGCAGCTGGACGGCGTCCGTGTTCGGCTCGATGTAGTTGCGTCCATCGCAGTAGAACTTGCCCTTGTTCATCACCACCGTGTAGCAGTTGAAGAGCTGCGAGTCGTAGAAGGAAATGAGCAGGTAGGACGGTTCGTTTAAATCGGACCGCTTCCAGATGGCGTACGGCGTCCCGATGGCCGGGATGCGGTCCTTGTGCTCCAGCCGCATCTCCTCAACGTAGCTGCCGTGGCAGACGAACTTCAGGATGTAGTTGTCGAGGAAGGTGCAGTTCTGTTCCTTGCATAGAGCCGGGGCGGGTGCGAGGATCAGCAGGATGAGCGCTAGGAGGAGGACTGGATGGGTTTCGGGCTGGATCTGGAGCTGGAGCTGGGGCGGACTAGGTGGCCTGCGGATCGGCCGCAGGGCATGCCGAGGTTGCTGGGGGTGCTGGGTTTGCTGAGGACGATGGAGCGGCGGACAGTCGATCCACTTGTTATTCAGACTTCGTGCGCTTGAGAGGCGCACTGGCATTGCTTATAGGCAAATGATTCTTTGATCATTTTCGAAAAATTTGATGGGAATTTCCAGGAGAATAAAAACGGTTCCGATCATTTGTCTCCCGCTTGACAGAAGTTTCTCCGTTGACCATCTAACTACCTTACCACCAAAGGATCCTCAGCACGCGATTGGCCGAAGAAGGGGCATCCCGATTGGGAACCCGCCTCGCGTAGTGGATGGCCACGTGGGCATCCTGCTTCGATTCGGGGGACAGGCCACAGTGCCTCATCAGCTGCCGCACATAGGAGAAGGTGAAGTCGAAACAGTGGATGCCCTCGGGACGGATGTGGATGCCGGGCTCCTCGGAGTCGGAGCAGTGAAGGCAGTTGAGGCTCAGACTAACGTTCTTGCAGGGCGAGATGGGGGACTCGTAGAAGGAGACCAGCAGCTCCAGAGTTGGCTGTCGCCTCCACCACAGAAAGTAGGGCACGTCGGCCTTGAGCCAAATGTCTCGGTAGTTTAACTTGAGGTCGTTGCTGTACTCGGCTTTGCAGGCCAGTGTGAATGGAACTTCGTTCTCCAGCAAAAAGTCGCAGGAGTCGAAGGAGCCCTCGGTGGAGGCCAGAAGATATGCGAGTGGCAGAATCCACAGTTTCCATATCATGGCTGCCTGAGTGTGAAGGTCTAAAGCGAGGGGGGAATGTGTGCCGACTGATAAATCATGGCTGACATTTTGATCGTAGAAGAAGATCGATGATCTTATTGAAAATAAACTACAACTTCATTTGCACTTGTAATTTTGTCTTTTAATTAATGCGAAAAAAAGAACCACTTTGCTTGTACAAATCAGATATATTGTTATATTATCGCATACACGAGGAGCAGCAACGCCTGAAACAGATGGATGGTACCAGCAGCACTCGTTTCTGCGGCCACGGGCACTTTTACGGAGAGCGAACCGTACTGAAGGATCGGCCTTTTGGCCACATCATCTCCATCTCCCAAGCCTTCTTTAAGGCAATGCCTTCTCAGCTCGTTCGGATAGCGCAGACTGAAGGAGAAGCAGTGAAGTGTAGACGGTGAGATCATTAAATGTTCCACGGATCCGTTCCCTGCAAGCCCCACGAAGTAGTGGCTGAGCATGAACGGGGATTGTGCCAAATAGATGGTTTCAAATTTTGTCAGCGCCTCGGTGTAAAACGAGATCAGGAAATTCGACTCCTCGCTTTCCCACACGCTAAAGGTTGTTTCCGGGGGTGCTCGATTGTCCCGAAATAATATGTGCATATCTTGCGACACTTTACCCTTGCACACGAACTTATACGATGTCCCGTAGGCGTGCGAGCAATTTCCAGTGCTGCGAAAAGCACGAACTCGAGGTAAGGACGCCAGCAAAAGTATCAAAAGTCCAACAAAATTGAAGCGTAGGCGCATGACAAGAATTTATTTTCTCTAAACAGAAATGACGTTATCAGCAAGGCAATACAAATTCGGTAAAAATAATAGCACCAACAACCAAAAACCGCAAGGAAAGTCAACACCTCGGATCGCTAGAACCAAAAAAATATAAAGTACACAGAGAAAAAAAAATACCAAAACTGGTCATCATTCGGGTATTTTTTCATATCAATTTTGGTCCCATATGTGGTCATACCAAAATGATATTTTCGAACATACCAAATTGGTATTTTCGAACATATTAATAAGGTATTTTTCGTACAAGATTGTTATGATCTCATATCAAATTTTGCTACAAAATTTTGTATTGTATTTTCTCTAACTCAGAAAAGCATTCTGCCACGAAAAAAAAAATGTCTGCATGGCTCAGAGGCCAAGGTGCTAGGTCCTGATATTATTTTGTGCTCGGGGGAACGGGGTTCAAATCCCGCTCACAACACAACACAACTTTTTTTTTTTATTAGTAATCTTATCATATTAACTTTTTACAACAATTTTGTTCTTAATATTGTTAAGGAAATGTTAATTATGCGCCTTAAAAACTTTTTACTTTCTCTGCCTTAGCCGGTTTTGAACCGGGGTCCTCTCGCATCAGAGTCGGATGCGTTACCTATTGGGCCATCGCGACAAGTTACACGCGAGTATATTAGCTAAACTTGAATGTAAAATTAGCTCGTTTAAGCATGCTCAACTTGTAAGTGTGACCACAGCATATAAAGCGGTATAATACCAGAAATACAACAAAAATACAACTTTACAGCCATACTATTTTTTCGAAGACTTTTCGATGCCCCATTTGATATGAAAAACATATCAATCTTTGAAGTATTCATATTAATATGTTACGGATTCATATCAACATGGGTAATTGTTATGATTTCGTATCATATTGGTATGAATTCGTATTACATTTATATGGAAAAATTGATATGTACAAATTGAGGAGACAATATCAATCTGGTATTGTTCCATTTTTTTCTCTGTGTACTAGCAATTTTTCCAATCAATCCTTTAATGAAATTATAATGTAATTAGTACTTAGTGCTGGATTCTATGGACTCATTAAATTTATAATTATTGTAGAAAAACAAGAAAAGAAGCTAGCTTCGGCAAGCCGAAGCTTATATACCCTTGCAGATCATTCTATTAATTTACAAATCACAAAAATGTTATATTTTCTATATTTCACTTTAATTTTTCGATCGTTTCTGCGGCAGCTATATGATATAGTAGTTCAATCTTTTTAAAATTAAAATCGAAATTAGGAAAAAGTCATAACCCAGAGTAAAAGAAAATTTAATAGAAATCTACAAAGTTATCATTTTTTTCCTAATAATTTCCATTTCCTATATGATAAAGTGGATCAACATTTCAAAAATTACAACAAGGAACTAGAAACTGTAAAGTGAACTGGATTAAATATCAATAAAGCGCAAACTCTATTTAAACTATATTTGGAATTTGAACTATGTTTGGTTGATTTGTATATTAATTTACAAACTAAGAATACATTAAATAATCACAGTGAAATTAAATCGTTCAAATTGTTTCCAAGTGACTTAATGAATCGCTAGTGGGCTAACTTTTAATGCTCATTGAAATTTACACAATTGTAAAAATCAATATTCAACAAATAACCCCTATAAAAGAACAAGTTTTTCCGTTCGGGTCACTTTTATTCCGATTCCTACTAGCTTGTCCTGTCAAGGATTCTGGACCTGACCAACTTTTGCAAAAAGTTTGAAGCAACTCTTGCTAGTCAAAGATGGTAAACTTGTTTCAATTTAATCAAAGTAATTAAACATTCTCGTTGGGTTTTCAGTATATTTAATTTTCCGAGCACATACGCACACTCAACAGAAGGTCGAAAAAAATATAAAGTACTAGCAATTTTTTCCAATCAATCCTTTAATATGAATATGAAGAATAATTGATAAAAAATAGTTCTTAGTGCTGGATTCTATGGACTAATTAGTTTTATAATAGTTGCAGAAAAAAGTTCCGTAAGAAAGTTAAGAAGTTAATGAATAGGTGATACCTATAGGTAATACCTATCAGACATAGTTGCTGATACTTTCGATATTATTTTTTAGTAACTCCATTATAAAATGGGTTCACTATTTGATTTGATTCTTAAATATATATTAGTATAGTCGAGGGCCAAACCTCTTCCGTATTTATACAATTCACTGTTCTACTCTGTCACTCAATCTCTTTCTCGAGTTCACTGCAGCAACTACGTGCCAAAGGCATCTCCTCGATCGAAGGAGGCCAGCGAAAGTAAAAAGAAAATTCGACAAATTGATTTACATGTTCCTTCTTGTGTTTGCAGCCATTGAAAGGGCTGCAGCAATAAACCGAACGAATTTACTTTCAATTTCGCCTCGATGACAATTTTTCTGATTTAACTCCATTTTATGCGAGTTGTCGGGCTGCGACTGGCCCAAGTGTGGCCCTTGGTCCTTCCTTGCCTGCCTTTATTAAATTACAATAATAAATGGGGATGTGTATGTGCTGCGTCTTGAGAGTCGGAGTGACAGCTCAGTGTGTAGCGCAGGTGTATTGTCTGGCCGATGTAAGAGGCCAGAGAAAGGAACCGAATTAAGTCGGGAAAATGCCAAAACTGCCAGTGAATGACATTCCAAGCAGAACCCCTTCTGGCACATATTCAAAGCTGAAATTACAATTCCATCTTACCATCGCGCACGGATGTCCTTGCTGCGCCCTCAAACCTCCTCCTCCGCAATATCCATCGAGCGGCCTTTGTGCCGGCTTCATTGTAATTTTAATACATGTCACATGATTTACAGCTGGCGATGCCTTCGGCACCTCTCGTTCCACCAGCTTCCCCAGGTGGTGACAGCTTTGGCTTTGCTTGGCTTCGGATCTCCTGCCGCTGACACATTGTCAATGCATAAAAAGATCCACAATCGCTGCTTGCAAGTTGTATTGGCTGATGAAGCATTGTAAGGACTCAGTTGGGAAATTCTTAGAGATCAGAGTAAGCAATGGAAAAGGTCATCGCTAACGACATCTATCAGGCAAGGAGTCCGCCAAATGAATTGCATTAAACTAGTGGATAAGCACACCTTTGAATAATGAATGGAAAACCAATGGCAAAAGATGACGCACTTTAGCCAGTCACCTGCACATGACAGCCGAATGAAGAGAGACACCGCCAAAAACGACAACAAGTGGTGCAGGAAATAATTCCATTAGTAAAATAAATAAACAAAGGCCAAATGAATGATTGAGCAGGTACAGTCCTCCGTCCTGTCACGACCAGAATTGAGCGGGCAAATCTTAAACCTAAAGGCGTCGCGTGCATAAACCAAATGCAAACACCCCAACGTACTGGTAAGTACCCTCTCCTTCGCCCATTTCGCTGAGGTCTCCAAGGATGTCACTCGACTGCGGCCGGCTGAATACATATTACATGAGCCGCCCAAGTGGAGCGCACACATATTGACCCATTTCGATGCGGCCAGACAGCCTCATCCTCAGTCCCCACACCCACACCCAGTCACTCACACGGAGCCATCCCAGGCACCTGGGCTAAGGAGCCTCAGAGTAGTTTTGGTTAATAAAGTCAAATGCCACCAAAATCAAAAGGAAAACGCCACTTACGACTAATGGCATCACGGCATCGGTGGCAAGATGCCGTGAGGTCCTCATCCTGACATCCACAACTATCCACGCTGCCACCAGCAACCACAGCAATAACAACAACAGCCACAATGGCCCTTGGATATCTGCCAGGAACTTGGGGCCTCCGCCAGGTTGAGGGAAAATTGGGGGATTTTTAATTGTATTAACATCGCTCAGCAGCACAGTGGGCCAAATAACTCACAATAAAAGAGATAGTCAAAGGGATATTATAGTACATGAAATAATAGGTATATTTTTAAGTTTATTCAAAATGCATTAATACAGAAAAAAAAAACTTAAATAATCAAGAAATTCTTACAATTTTTATAAAAGAAAGCTAACGTAGATCATTCTATTCTAATATTCACTTAGCATTATGTCATTCGCGCACACCGAAATTGAGGATATTCGACTTTAATATAATTTTAGTTTAAATAAAGGAAATTTACTAGGAAAGTTTTTCTTTTATATAATTTTCAAATTAACTTTTTACTTTATTTTCCATCTCTAAAATGTTAAACAAATGTTCAAATTTATGTTATTTTAAGTCATTAAACGATAAATTAAATTGAATTGAATTGACCCACTGTTAGTCTGCGATCTTAGGACATCTCCCTGGACATCGCGATTGGCTGCGCTTTGTGTGGCACTTAAGTGCGTGCCGAGGCCTCCAGATATTTGTTATTGGGTTATTGGATTTGCCTAGCAGCTTGATTGCTGCTTTTAGTCGGAGTTGGCTGTCCCTCGCAGAAGCTGCGAGACTTGCAAATAGTTTAAGGGATGAGGGCCCAGGTGGCAATAAAAATATTAAATTCCGAAATACTTTTATAAAAAAGTCTTTAGCCTTTTTTCCGATTTATTGGACTAAAAATATTAAATGATTAAGTTTGCTGAACAATTTTTTACTAGTGCTCATGGGCTTTTAAAAAATACAAGATTATTAACTTTCAGAAGTCCTGAAATCTTTTAGAGTCATTTTTGAAAAGGATAATTTTATCCAGTTTTTAATCTTAGTCTAATTTAATTTATATTTTACATTCAAATTTTCATAACTAAAGTAATGGTATTAAATGGGTTGGGTTAAATTGGTAGCAAAAAGCTAAAAGATATTTCACCATTCGTTGAATGTACTTTAAATTTGGCTGTCCCCCAGTGAGACGTTTCGGGTTCTGGCAAGGACCACCTTTGGAAGTGCGGGGCGTTAAAGGTCCTCACGTGCTGCCACAACAAAGGAGCCAACGAAAGTCAGCCGAGGAAGCGGAGTAACGAGGCGGGGTCCAACACAAACGACGGCAAATTATTCGCTGTCAGGAAAGGACAACGGAATAGCAGTC